TGGATAAACAGTTATATTTATAATTTACATGCAGCACACATGTCAATAAACTCTCAAGATTGTACGCGACGTTGAAAGCAGACATGGCTGTGGAAATTGTTTGATTGTAGCAGGACCTGTTTACTATTCACGAGATGTGAGTGTTTTTGGTCCGCTACTTCTGTGACGACCTGCCGATTTCTTCTCTTTGTGTGGAATTATATTATCCCGTACGGACATACTAAAATATGTTATATGTATTGATGTGCATATGTATGATAGTATTTTATTCACGGTCTCTTGAGAAACATATTTACATCAACAACAATACTACAATTCTATTTACAAATTAATACTAGTAAATGTCATACATCTCGATAAAAGCCATCATAAATTTTATAGCTGTTGTGGGGGGGGGGGGGAAACACTTCCCCCCTCCGACAGCCTCAGAGGCTCAGACTGTCAGACCCCGGTCACCCTTCTTGGCGTTGGCCCCGTCGCACTGGCCCCTTCCCGCAAGGTAGAAAGCGATACATGATGAGTGACCAGAACTGCCTGGGAAAGTATAGCGGCATAGCCTCCTGATAAATGCAACAAGGAAAGGCATGATATTTGTGTTGTAGACTTGTAGTCCAAAAATGGCTATGTAAGAGTCTTCCTGACCAATGTTTTGTTCTGATTTTATACTGAAATGCTACATTGAGTCGAATTGGCTTAATGAAAAACTACATTCTGTTCGATTGAGTACTGTAAATGAAAATATACTTTTATAAGTTAGATATTCTGTTTTTAACGAATAGGCATTCTCCATATAGGTTCCTAATCTACGTTTTGAATGAATGATAATTTCATTCTCATGTCAAATTGTATATAGCTATCAATAGATATTTAAAATCGATAAGTATTCGTCAAAACAAGCTATACCTCAAAATATTAAAAATCGAATGAAAACAAAAATTCAAAAAAACAAAGAGTATATTATACTAAACTTGTACAGTAGACTGAGTAGAGTGAGTCACTGGCTCAGCTGACTACTGAGAGAAAGAGTAAATAGAGACTGGAGGTCAGCTTTTGCGACACGTCATGTTTTCAAAATTACTTTTTATGGTTGTTTTTTTATGCTCGACCATAGCCTCCAAAACATTTTGAACGGGAGAAGCTCGAACATCTACGGAGGTAGACAAAGAATATTCGTCACGTAACGAGCATAGAATATGTAGTGTACACTTTAATCCCGAGGTTCTTTTACTGTCAAAAAACGGAACAATCACTACAGTGATCGGTGCAGTGCCTACTATGTATTTAAGACCACTTCGGAAGGATGGCCCTCCTATCAAAGAAGATCTTGCTAGAGAGAGATTACTTATAGACTATACCGAATTGATCGAACTAGACCGCGACATAGATTCAGTGAACGGTAAACGTTTATTAGAAGTCAATGAAATAGCTGAACATGCACGTAAACGAGCCTGCATAACTGATAAACGTAATGCATGCGTTGCAAAAGAAGAGCGTGATCGAGATATTATTGGTACTTTCAGCGCTTTGATTGCAAATGTTTCTAGGCTAAGTAAACAATGGGTCATAAAAGAGAGTGAGCGGCAAATATTAATCTGCAGATGAAAATTTACTGAACAATGTAGTATGCCGGCAGGTTGCACAACGTGTGCATTTAACACCTACAGACGTTTGTAG